GTGGCGGTGGGAGAGCCGGGCCGGGAGCCGCATCGGGGGCTGCGCTCTATTTTCCCCGGGTGCGACCTCTGTCCGTGGGGGGAGGTCACGTCAGCATCGCTGCGACGGGGCTCCTAGGCACCTGTTGTTATTACAATTGCTATTATAATTGCTGTGATTATTATATTTATTATATATGTATCTGTAGTCATGGATTCGTTGCTTTAACAACCCAACGCGCTTCGTCTTTTGCAGATAACGGGTAATGGAGTCCAACTGCCGTAAACTTGTCTCAGCCTGCGTGCAGCTAGGTAAGAGAACCCACCGCCCCGCGGCCTTCGCTGGGGGAGCAGGGAGGCGCCGGGGGAACGCAGGGACCCACCGCCCACAGCTCCTCCGCGGGCCTCGCTGCTCCGCGCCCGGCCGCCCGCCTGCGCGGCACTATGGCGCCCCCTGCCGGCCGCCGACCGTTCGGGCGGCGCCTCCAGGTGCGCACCCCCCCCGGCCGCCCGCCTCCAGCAGCGCCCCGAAACGCGCGCAGCGCTCGCACCGCGCCTCTCCGCTGCCGGCGGGGTCTCTCTGCTAGCCTGGGGATTTTTTTTTTCTTAATTGCTTCCGTTTTTAGCCCCCCATAACCTCCCCAGAGCTGAGGGGTGCCACACCGCCTTCGCATCCTCTGCCTGCTGAAGGGGGCCCGAGGGTGGGCAAGTCCAAGGGGTGATAAAGAAAAACACCCAGGCAAACACATTACAAAGAAGAAAACAAGCGCTCTATTCCAAGAGACTGTTTAATCCAAGATAAACGTAATTTTGTTTAAATAAAATATATTAACCTGAATTAATAATACGGGAAACTAGACAGAATTAATAATGCACGCCTTGCCGGTGTCGTGGTTAAACACTCCCCTGTGGGAATGCCGCGTTAACCCCCGCGGCTCAGTGCTGCTCTGGGAGCAGCCACAGGCTCAGAGCACCCTGAGGCCATTGGACATCGCACCCCGCCAGGCACTACGGTGAGGATCGGGGGCGGCAGAGAGCGAAATGCAGGGTGATTCTGGCCGCGCAGGCTTTAGGAGTCAGTAAGTTTTAATCCCGGAAACATACGCCATGTTGAATTGTGCCCAAATCGGTTTTGCCGGGTGCTGGCGCTTTGTCCTTCGGCCTGTAATAAGTGTTAAATAACGTGGAAAGGAAGGGTGACATCGCTTTATGTATGGTTGGGAAATAAGGAGGGCCTTCCTCCATCCCGACCAACAGGTGGTCTTAATCAGAGCCCTGAGCAAAAGCTAATGGGGAAGTGGGAACCTTTCCGATAGAAGAAATTTACGAGCCCTTCCCTGCCAGCTTATTCGTCAAAATATTTATAAAAGCAATGCCACCATGCGCTCGCTGACATGCTCACTTTTACTCCTCCCGCCGAGAAACGAACGGATATTTTCTTAACCGTCAATTAGGAACGCGGGTTATTGTCATGCATGTACAATGCCCTGCCTCGTTCCCCTATCATCCGCTCTGCGTCCTACCCGTCGGGCTGAGGGGGAAATCTTTATCTGAACGCCTTGAATGCCATTAATTGAACGAGAACCCTGAAGCAGCGCTGGGTTGCACAGCTTGCTGTTTTGGGGTAGATGTGCGCGGGTGGCAGCTCTCGGAGTGCCCCGACGTGCGGGGCAGAGCCCGAATCGCTGCAATTTGCCTTCGAATCCCGTAGAGGTTTGCGCAGAGATTCTATCGATTTTTTTTTTTGGTTTTGCCCTCTTCGTTTCGTTGCGCTATGAATCCCGCGGTGCTCGTCGGTTGCGGGCTGTGCCTGAGCATCAGAACTTCAGGTTTTACGTGGTTTACCTCGAGAAAAATTTCTCGTCCTTCTGTGCGTCAGACGTAGGGTAGTGAAATAGTGCGGGGGCCGTCCGGGACCGCTTCTGTCGGAACGCGTGTTTGGGAACGGGCAGCGCGACGAGGAGCTGCTGCCCATGGCTGTCGCTAACGGCAGCGCGAACGCGAGCGTCGGGTCACTGCGGCGCTCCTGCGGGAGGAGGGAACGAAATTCGGGCGGAGATGCCTCAAGTGAGGAGGGCGCTGGGGCTCCGGCTTGGGAGCGGGACCTCTGCGCCCGGGGAAATGGAAATAAGTCAAGTGCGAAAATAGCTCTACAGCTGAGAATGGCAAAGGCGGGTGCCGTGATTACCAGGAGAGGTGGAAAAATCGCTGCTGGTGCATATGGTTGGAAAAGCACACAGCAAGAGGGCTGGCTTCCGGGGGGCTTATTCGAATAATTTTTACGAAGGGCGGAGGGATGCTTAGATTCTACCTGCGCGTTTTTAATTGAACGAATAGAATCTATAGAATTCGTTAGCTGCCCGAATTGTGCTGCAGGAATCCTTCCCGCAATCGCTAACGCGGGTGTCGCTAAAGCAGCAGCAGCCTCCTCCCAGTATAAAGCGCTGGGATTACAGTCCGCCCTGTATCAGCGGCACCAGCGCGAATCGATTGTTTCAACCCCTCGAAAGGGAGGGGGGGGAAACAAAAAAAAAAAGGAACAGAAAAGAAGAAGAAATCATTCTTTGGGCTGAACACTCATTAACTTCATATCGCTTAAAAAAAAAATAAATAAATAAATAAAAAAAGTGAAAAATAGAACAGTGATCCCGCCTTACGCCCAGCCCCGCGGAAGGTGCCCGGTGTGTGCTGTGGCCCCGCCTCCCCCTGCTGCCGGACGGGGACAGACCCCGCACCCGAAAGTTTGATACCGCACTTCGGCTGTCGCATCAATTGTGGTTTATTTTTTTCCCTCCCCGCCGGTGCGTGAGAATAATATATGCAGCAGTTGTTAGCCTCACTCCAGGGAAAACGAAATGTATAAGGAAAGCTTATTCGTGAGGAGGAATATACTAATGGAACAATCTGATGTCTTCTTAATCCTATGTAAAAAGCTCTGTAGTCTTCCTAATATTGACTGAATGGGTAATTAATGGCTCTTCATCGAAGAGAATACGCGGTAATCCGAGATAGGCGGGAGACAACAAGGGAGGGGAGCAGCCGGCAAAGCGAGCGGGGCTGCGCAACCCCGAGGTGTCGGTCGGGAAGAGGGTTACACAACGATCCCATAGGGAGATAAAGGAAAAGTGGGAAAGTAAAGACCTGGGGGAGGTGGGCGGGTGGGGAGGAGGAAAGGGGGCAAAATAACATTCGGAATAAGATAAAAATAAACCGAATACAATCAAGGAATTGCAAAAGGAGAAGGGAGGGTCTCTATTATTAGGGATCGTGCTCGGCACCCCAGGCTGGGCTTTAGGGCGGCCCCGCAACGAGCAGTGCGGGCCCGAGAAGGGATGGGAGCTGCCAGAGGGAAAGGAAAAGTTTAAAAAAAAAAAAAAAGACTTGACATTTTAATTGGAACCTTTAGCGCTAATATATGGCTTGGGTGCCTACAATGAGCTTGTTTTTCGGTTGGCTGACAGCTTCTAAAATATTATTTCGCTTGGGAAATAAAAGCTTCATCTCAGCTTCTAGGTGGGTATTTTTGGATTTAGGTGATTTATGGTCGCCATGACAACTAACGCCGCCTGCCCGCTCCCCTCCCAGCCGGGTGCGGGGCTGTAGGAGGGGGGAAGAGCCAAAACCCCCTCGCTTTTGGAGGATCTGGCCCCCCCGGGTGGGAGCGGAGGATGCAGGGCCGGGTCCGCACCGGGGGGGTCCGACAGCGGGAGCGAGGGCTGGGGAGGGAGCGGGGACAGGGTCGGTAAACAAATTGTGCGGAGCGGAGCCGGCTTCGTATTGACTCAGTTATAGGTCATCGGCTGCCGGTGCGGAGGGAGGAAATATTTACTTTACACATATACTTTATGATCTTGGGGGAATTAGAGGAAATTCAATAAGAAAACGGCTAGAATCATTTTAAACCCCCTATTTAAGAGACTTAAGCAAATTAGAGTCTTATCAGATTAAAATCCACTACAAATGTAAGAGCGTTGTCTCCGCCGAAACGCTGTGGGGTCTGAGGAAAGAGATTCGCTGCCAAATCTCGGGGATAAAAACGCGTCATTTAAACGGCAGATAATGAGCAGAATGTAAATTAATTTAACCTTCTTTACTAACAGCCCGCCGAAGGAATATGTGCCGTTCGGCGATAAGTGCCGTTGCGAGGGACGGTGCGAACATCAGCGGGCAGAGGGACCCCGGCGGGAGGATGAGGGGGGAGAGAGGGAAGAGGAGGAACTGTCCCACGGGCAGGCGGCACCTGAGCCCCGTGGGGGGAGGAGGGGCAGGGGACGGGGCGAGCGCTGCTGCGGGGAGGGCGAGGGGCCGTAGCGGGAGGCTTCTCCAGCGGGTCCGGGCGGAGGCGCGGAGATTACGCGTGCTCGGGGCCGGGATTCGCGCAGCCCTCCCGCGTCGGTGGCTGCGAAGTGGGGGCTTCCCGAACCGCGACGGCTGCTCGCGGCCGTTGTCTCCGCGCTCGTTGCGGCCGTTCGCGACCGCCGGCGCCGCTGTCAGCGGCCGCGAGCCCGTCCTGCCCGCCGCAAGGCCCTCGCTCTTATTGCCCACCCGGGGCCGGAGCCCGGCCTCTCCTCCCAGGGCCGCCCCGCTCCGCTCCGGCCGCCCGGTGCCGCCGCGCGGGAGGCCCGGGGGAGGCCCGGGCGGGCGGGGCGGGGCGCGGCGGGGGCGGGCGCGGCGGGCGGCGGGAGGCGGCGCGGGGGCGGAGCGGGGCGGGCGCGGGTGACGTGCCGGCGCGGGGAAGGCCGCCGCCGGTTTAAGATGTCAGGCCAAGAGGGAAGCGCCTGAGCTGATGCGGTGCGGGGCTGGCCGCGGCGCGGCGCGGGTCCATGCGCGGGTGGCGGAGCGGAGCGCCCCGCGGAGCGCCGCCGAGCCCCGCGGCGGGCCGGGGGCCGCCGGCCGGGGAACTGCGGGGTGGCCGTGACGGCTCTTGCGGGACCGGAGCCTCTCGCTCGCCTGCCGCCACCGCGCCCCCCCGGGCGGCGGGGGCTCCGGGGCGCGCCCGCCCGCCCAGCCGCTAGCCGAGCCCCGGGAGGCCGCCCAGGGAGGGGGCGCCGCGACGGTCCGGGCCGCCCCCCCGGGCACACGCGCTCCTTCTCCCGTCAGCCCCCCCGGGCGCGCCCGTCGGCTTCGGCGTCCTCTCGCCGATGAGTTGCATGAAGGACCCGTTAAGCCTGGAGCGCTTGGGAGCCGGGAATAATAAGCTGTGCTCTTCCTCACCTTCCTCCTCCTCCTCCTCGTCCTCCTGCCATCACCAGCAGTCCGCGCTGGCCATGGCGACGGCGCTGGCGCCGGGGCAGGCTCGCTCCTCCCTGGAGGCCGCCAAGCACCGGCTGGAGGTACACACTATCTCCGACACCTCCAGCCCCGAAGCCGCAGGTAAGAGGCGGCGAGCGGCGCGGAGCCCCCGGCCCGCAGCGCCTCGGTCCTGGCTCGGGGCGGGTGGTGACGGCTGCGGGAGAACGGTGTAAGGGGAGCGGGCGAGAGATCGGGTGTTGAGGGCGAATGATGGGGGAGCGAATGCGCGAATAACGTGGAGAGTGATGTGAGTACAGATGGGCGAGTGTTGGGATGCAGAGGTTGGAATATATTGATACGGAAGGGTGAGTAATGTGGATACAGAAAGGAGAATATACGGCGAATAATGTGGATACAGATGGCCGAATGATACGGGTACAGAGGGCAGGTAAAATGGGTCCAGGCTTAAGAATACATGTCGAATCATGTGGGTGCAGATGGGTGAATGAAATGGATACGGAGGACGAATGACATGGATACAGTGGGCAGGTAATGTGGGTACAGAAAGGAGGTAATGTGGATACAAATAGGCGACCGTATGACGAGCAGCATGGATACGGATAGGCGAGTAACGTGGATGTGTATAAGCGAATAATACGGGCAGACGGGTGAATGGTACGGATAAAAGGATATAGGATACATAAATAATATGGATGCAGACGGGCGGATAACACTGTTACGGAACGCGAATAATATGGAGGCAGGAGGGTGAATAACACGGGTAGAAACAGACGAGTGATCCGGACAGAGGGTGAGCGGTAACGGACAGCAACGGGCGAGCGCTGCGGATAGAGACGGCCGGTCAGCGCCGGTGGGGAGGGGCCGCACTTCGGCTGTCCTCCGGCCGGTAACGCGTAAAGCGCACGCGGAGAGCGGAACACCGCCGGCGTCGGGAGCGCACACGGACGGGAGAACGCAACTCCCGTCCGTAGCGGGCGGCGGAAAACCCGCAGAGGAGCGCGGAGCCGGCGGGGGCCGGGCGCGGGTTAATGATTAGCGGCGCGGGGGCAGTCCGCGGAGAGCGGGGCGAGGCTTGGGAGGCTGAGGTGCCCCTGTTTTCCGCCCCGCTGTTTTCTCTTCCCCCCTCGCAGAGAAAGAGAAGAGCCAGCAGGGCAAGAGCGAGGATGCGGGGCCCGAGGACCCCTCCAAGAAGAAGCGGCAGCGGCGGCAGCGGACGCACTTCACCAGCCAGCAGCTGCAGGAGCTGGAGGCCACCTTCCAGCGGAACCGCTACCCGGACATGTCCACCCGCGAGGAGATCGCCGTCTGGACCAACCTCACCGAGGCCCGGGTTCGGGTGAGTCCGGGGGCGGAGCGGGGAGAGAGATCCGCGGCCTCTTTCAGTTTCGGGTCGGCGCGGAGAGCGGCGCTCGGCCCTCCGGCTCTGCTCTCGCTGCGGAGCGCGGCCCCCCGCGGAGCGTTCCGCCGTCACGGTGCCGCTCCTTCCGACGGGAACCTACGGAAACCATTGGCAGGGAGAGCGGCCGGGACCAGGCTGCGACCTGCGCGGCCTCTAACGAGAAAAAGATGTACAACACACGCGGGCCGTCGCCTCGCTCTCGACGTGCCCTTCCGCGCATTTTCTTTCGCTTCGCAATTCGCCAAGCGCCTCTCCGCCCTTTCCCCTCTCTGAGATTTATGGGAGCCATCGGTGCGTTGCGGACTTCCCGAGGCCACATCCTGCGTGCGTGCAAACGCTGGGAAAATAATAATAATATATAATAATAATAAAATAAATTAAAAGATATACAGTGAGTTGAACCGAACCTCCCAGATTTTCGGGAAAGCAAACAAACAAAACAACACCTAAACCTTCTCTTCTCTTGGAGAAGGCAGAAGGCGAGCAGGCGGCGCGGCGCTGGGAGCCGTGTGTTGCTGTGCCCGGCGCTGCTCCCCGCTCCCCGCCCCGCTCTGTCGCCGCCGGCTCTGCACCCCCCGGGGCTCCAATCCACACTGACCCCGCGGCATCGCCGGCGCTCAGACACCCGCGTGTGGATTGGAGAGAGCGCGCTGCCCTTTGTCTGCGGGGAGGCTCCTTTAGACCTCATTTAGCACGTTGTTAAGAAGTGATTTTCTTCTCTTTCTTACCCCCCACCCCCCCCTTTTTTTTTTCTTTTCTTTTTTTTCTTTTTACCAAAGAGCGGTCGAACAAGTTTGTTTAGAAGTGGTTCTCGGCTCTGGAAGCTCTCTCTCAGGGAGAACTCGGAGCTTTAACCAAGTGAAGCAACGATTTACGAGTTGCTGGCTTCCCTCTCCCTCCCTGTAATAGGAAACATTGCCTTAAAGTTCCGCCGCTTTCCAGGCTCTCTGCCCTCGGTTTTTGCACTCTTGTATTTCCCCTGGATGGCGGTGCTTTTGACTGAGCCAAGGAGGGGGGGAAAAATAAAAGAAAGAGAGAAAGAATCGGGGGAGGGGGGAGGGAGCAAGGACGAAAAAAAAAATGATGGGGT